CTCTCTCTCTCTCTCTCTCTCTCTCTCTCTCTCTCTCAGTCCGGTACTAACCTGTGAAGTTGGCGCCTTGATGCAGGTACCTCGAAGATGAAGCTAGAGCTATGGCGCCACAGGTAAGTCTCCCTGGCCTCCACCAGTCATCTCTCTCTCCAACGCTACTCTACTCCTACCAGCGCCCAACGCTGAAGACTACCACTACAGCTACTAGCACCCAGCGCTGAAGACTACTGCTAGCGCTAACGCTACTCCTGCAGCGCTACTCCTGCAGCGCTACTCCAGAGTGCTGCTGCCGAATCCTGAAGACTACTCCTGCCTTCTGCCTACCCGTGAAGTGCATGTGTACTACCTCGGCCTGCCTCCTGACTGCCTGCAGTTGCAGGGAGGGGCAGTCCAGGAGGCTGCTGTTGCCAATGCCAACGTGAGTCAGGGCCTGGCGCTACAGCTCCTGCTGAGGCTGTCGTGGGAACAGGCCAAAAATAGCCTGTTCCTAAAACCCTGGTTTGGTGCCTGAGTGTTAGGGCAGGTCGATCTTATGAGAGCCCGAAAGTGGCCCTCCATTTCAGGTTGAAAAGACTCAGGGCCTGGAAGGCCCTGTTTTAGGCTGAAACGAAATAGGGCCTGCAGGCCCTCGTTTTGAGGCTTTCAGGCTTAAACGACACAGGGCCTGTAAGCCCTTATTTTCAAGCTTTTAGGCTGCGGACGCTGGTCGGGCCCTGCAGGCCCATGTGGCTGCGCAGTATGCCACACCTAAACTGATCGGTTTGTGGTCCGAGAACGATTGGATATCTACTTTCGTGTACTATACCGCTCCCCATAGTGATGTGGAGATAAAAAAGTAATATAATCTTCTGCTAATTACACCGATCTCCTGGCGGGGGTTGGAGAACCACGTGGGCCCTTGCTTATCAGGATTGCACAAGCGGTATGGGTCTATCATATCTAAGTTGGACATGAATCCCAGCAGCGCTGCCTTGTCAGGGGAGGCTTGCTGTGTACCTTTTGTACCATATAGGGTCAGGTTCCAATCCCCCACGACTAACGTCCTGTTGCAGTCTGGAACTACGTATTCTAACTCCTCGTAAAATAGCCTCCTCTCCTTCTAATCTGTAGGAGCATATACTGTCACTATCAACCATTCCTCGTCGTCTATCAACAGTTTGACCCACGCCCATTTTCCCCAGAGGTCCGCATAATAATTAATGATTGTAGCATCCAGTCTTCTGTGGATCAGGATCCCTACTCCTCCTCTCGTATCTTGGGCTGGTGACTACAACTGTGGCCTGACCCACTAGTTCCCTAATGTTTCTACTTTCCTTTCACACAGTTTCGTTGCCTTCAATCTTTCTTTCTTGCACCGTCCTCTCGAGTCGCCCAACCCTCGAACATTCCATGAGGATATCGTAAGTTTACCCATTTACCCCTCCTTCCTCATTCTGTTGGATGGAGTGAGCTGCTTGGAAGCTGGCAGGTTGTTGTGATCCGCTTACTGTCTCGGCCAGCCAACTGCTGGTCAAATACTTGCATAGAAATGTTAACGTCAGCTTCTTCTCCTTCGAAAACTTTACTTCGACCTCCGTCAGAAATTCGGCCGATCGCAGTAGTAGAACTCTGATTCCCCGGAGTTCCTATTTCTTTCTCTCTGCCTGTCATGTAACTGGTAGCAGGCGGACGCCTTCTTGCTCTAGGACTTCCAGCTGTCCTCTCACAAATAGTACGTCAAGAAGGGGGATGAAAAACTTGATCTTCTTCCCATTCTCGGGATTGTCCACCAACAGCCGAGGCATCAGGATTTCTGGTATCATTCGAAATTGGAACTTGTCCCTTATTGCTGTTCTGACCAGCGTTGAGATCGTTGTTGGCATCGGTGTTTCCGGAGTACCAGTGATAGTAGATTGATTGTCATATCAGTTGTTGTCCATCCTATGAAGAAGACACCGCCTCTTACCACAGTACAGAATAACGGGAGGATCTTCGACCCGATGTTATCCTGTTGACCCCTGCTCGCCGCCACCGGAGTTTGTCTTCGAGTAGTCTTCAATCCTGGTGTACCAATCTCGTGAGCTTGATCTCGAGAGGCTTCAGATTGTGAAGACGATCCTGAGTGCTCTGATCTCAGGTCCGATATGATACTTCCTTCCCTGCTGAACCTTCTCTACTTACCCGGCGTCCAACTGCCCTGCCGCCTTCCATTCGCTGGTCCCCCAGCTCTTCCTTGTATGCCTGAGGTATAGGATCCTTCTCTTTTAGCCTCTCTCTCTCTTGTTCCTTCCCCTCTTTCTTTCCCTCTCTCTCATTTGTTCTGACATTTGGATGTCCCCCTTCGAAGTTCGGTTGAAATCCGTATGGGTTCATACTTGCTCCGCTTCTCTAGCCTGGTGTGAAGGGTCCTCCTAAATGTGGGTGGCTGTATCCTCCAAACAGTCCTCCACTCGGCACGCTATGTAGATCTGTGAAGGTTCCCATTGGAAGACCATACCCGCCCGGCGGGACGACCTGGCCATATTGGCCCTATGCTGCCCATGGCATGAATGCCGAGGGAGCTGTTGTTTTTCCAAACATTGAACCCAATTGTTTCGTCCCTGGAACACCTTGACCTAAGACCATACTTGGAGAGTACACTGGATTATTGTGGCTATAAGCCATACCGCCTGGCGGAAGACTAAGTCGTGGCCCCAATGGGCCCTGGTACTTGGAGAGTCTCTTGGTTCTCCTCCCGACAGGCTAAGTCGTGGCCCCAATGGGCCCTGGTACTCTTGACAAGCGGTCGACGCCGATTGCTGATTGCCTGGGGACGTTCCTGTGGAGATCCACTCTGATGTTGTTGCTGGTTCCTACGACACTGCTCCTCCGAATGAAAGAAGGTTTTGCATCTTCGGCAACGCGGAGACTCGGATGAAGCTAGGTTCACGTTCAGAGTGTCTCCTTCGAATGTCGCAACAAAGATCTTGTCTTTCATGTCCACACGAGCCGCCGGTTCCACGTCGAACTTGAGGTTAATTAACGATGACTTTTGTCGATCTGACTCCGGAGGGTGTGCAAGTAGCACTGGACCTATCGCTTTTTGGATCAGAGCCTCAAGATAGAGCATCACACCAGAGGCACTTGGACTGCCACTACCCAAAAGGTAGAGGCCTCCTCTCCTCTCCTTTGCTCACGCAATTGAGCCCTCGTCTGCCATGGCTTAAAGTCCAGCATGTACAGTGTGGTTCCGAGTGTGATCTCATCTTGGCCTTTGCTCTTTAGCCATGTGGCCACCACTGCGCTTTTTGCGATGTATGAAACCACATTTGGACTCTCCACTTTTATTCCCCCTCTTTTGAATAAACTTGTGTCGAATGTTTCGTCCTGCAGCCTTTCATCTTCATACGCTCTTACGATGTCGTCTTTCAACTTCTTCGGCAGAAACCGAGCAGCTTCTCTGAATATTACTATGACTGTGTGTTCTTTAAACCAATCCACCTTGGTCATGTCAATGCTTTCATTGAGTCACTTCTCTCCCATTCATCGTCATCCAATGGTTGTTCTGAGGCTGGGGGAGGGGAATGCCCTCCTTCGGCCATAGGAATTTCCATTACTTTGCCTCCTGCCTCAATCCGGTCTTGTTCCCTACTCAAGTGACTATGATGTCGTCAACCCTAATTATACCCCAGTATCATCTATTGTGGCCTTGTACTTCTAACCTCCTAGTGCGTCGCTTTTCTTCTTCCTCCACTCCTTTCCCATTTCACGTTAATCACTTCTTTACGAGGTTGGAACTCGGGTGTTCACAGCTCCGTCCTCCATAGCCAGAGCTATGACCTCCGTCAAGGCGGATGGTATCGAACGTAGCTCCCACCGCAATCTTATCACGCTGGTAGGACTTTCGGTCGAACACGCCTCCCGTTACCGGTAGCTCACGCTTGGTTCGAGCGCTCAAAATTAGCGTCGACGGAACCGCGCAGGTCGGACCCACCTCCAATTGAACAACTTCTGCCTCAGGGTCACATTGAAATTCTTCACCAAATAAAAAAATAAAAAATTAAGTTAAGACCTAGGTTGTTTTCCGGGCGCCCGGGCACCCAACTTGTCTCCGAATACACGCCCGGGTGCCCGACCGGGCATGAACCCCGGGCAGGGTTCCGGGCAGCCCCAACGCAAAAAAAAAAAAGAAAAAAAAAAGGAAAAAAAAAAGAAGTCAGTCAAAAATTTCCCAAAAAACTAAAAGTCAAAAATTTCCCAAAAAACTATATGTTGTGTAGAATTGCAATACAAACAACTTTTGGTTGAGGGTCACATCAGAATTCCTCACCGAATCAGAGATAAAAAAGAAAATAACAAAATCACACTAAAGGACCCCCCTTTAACCCCTCTTAGCCTAAGTTTTTTTTCCGGATATCCGGATGGCCCAGGACCATCCGGATTATCCGGCCGGAAAAATCACCCCGGAAGAACCCGGAAATAAACATTCCGGAACCTGCGCAAAATAGGCGCAGGGCTTCTTCTTGGGGCTTAGGGGTGCCAAGGGGTTTTGATCAACCCCTGGCAACACCTCACAGTGGCGGATCGTGGGCAAGACCCGGAGATTTTGAAAAAAAAAAGGCCCGAAGTGGGCCGTCAGTCCACCAAGATCGACGGCCCAGATCGGGTCAATTATGAATTCGAAATCGCCCAGCCCCGCCTCCCCGCAGCCCTGCCTCCCTTCTGCTCGCTGCCCCGCTGCCCCGCTGCCACGCCTCCCAGCTGCTCGCTGCCTCGTTGCTTGCTGCCCTGCTGCTCACTGCCCCGCTACCCCGCTGCCCGCTGTTCCGCTGCTGCAGGCATAACCGCCTCCGCTGGAGCCATCGTCGGGAGCTGCTCCTCTACCGTCGCTAAGGTGAGCCTCCTCTTCCTACTCTTCCTCCTCCTCCTTCCCTCCTCCTCCTCCTCCTCGTCTTTCACCTCCTCCTCCTCCTCATCCTCCTCCTCACTCCTCCTCCTCCTCCTCCTTGTCTTCCTTCTCCTCGTCTTCCACCTCTTCCTCCTCCTCCTCCTCCTCTTCCTCCTTGGCTTCCTCCACCTCCTCCTCCTCTTCCTCCTCGTCTTTCACCTCCTCCTCCTCGTCATTTTCCACCTCACTCCTCCTCGTCATTTTCCACCTCACTCCTCCTCCTCCTCTTCCTCCTCCTCTTCCTCCTCCTCCTCTTCCTCCTTCTCTTCCTCCTCCTCCTCCTCCTCCTCCTCCTCCTCCTCCTCTTCCTCCTCCTCCTCTTCCTTCTCCTCCTCCTCCTCTTCCTCCTCGCTGCCCCACCGCTTGCTGCCCCGCTGCCCCACTGCCCCGCTGCTGCAGGCATAGCCGCCTCCGCAGGAGCCATCGCCGGGAGCTGCTCCTCTACCTGTCGCTAAGGTGAGCCTCCTCCCCATCCTCGTCTCCGTCGTCCTCCTCCTCCTCCTCCTCGTCCTCCTCCTCCTCCTTGTCTTCCACCTCTTCCTCCTCCTCCTCCTCCTCCTCTTCCTCCTCCTCTTCCTCCTCCTCTTCCTCCTCTTCCTCCTTCTCCTCCTCCTCCATCGTCTCTTTCTCATCCTCCTCATCCTCCTCCTCCTCCTCCTCGTGCTCCTCTTCCCCCTCCATCGCCTGCTCCTCTTCCTCCTCCTTGTCCTCGGCCTCCCCACCTCCTCTTCCTCTTCCTCCTCCTACTCTTCAACCTCCTCCTCCACTTCGTCCTCCTTTATCGCTGCCTCCTCCTTCTCTTCGTCCTCCTCCATCGCCTTTTCCTTCTTCCTCCTCCTCCACCTCAGCCTCGTCCTCGTCATCTTTATAACGGCGAGAGTAACTATGACAGTATGAAGCTAGTAAATGCCTCGTCGTCTAATTGGCCACTAGCCTGAAATGACTAACGAGATTCCTTTCTTTTTTCAATCAGGAGGAAGGTTATATTGTCTGAGTTTGACTGGGTCAACCAAAGGTTGGGAGAGTCTCCATAAGTTTGGAGGGTCCAGTGCTATGTTTATTTTGGATTGCCTGAAGGACCAGACAGATTCCCATAAGTTTGAGTGGTCTGGTTGCTTTGACTTGGGAGGGCTGAGTGTGATTGCATTTTCAGGGACCAAGCATTTTTCCATAAGTTTGGATGGCTTAGCCGCCTTTTTTTCTTTTGGGTTTTCTATATGCTTATTTGATTTTTGAAGGAGCGTTGAGCATTTTTCCATAAGTTTGGATGACTCTGACCCTTTTTGTTTCATTCTGAGGGAGGATTTTAGCGACAGACCGGACAGGTTCCCATAAGTTTGGGAGGTTTGGTCTGAAGCCACGCATATGCTACAATCAGAAGGTAAAACTTGTTTATATTTTATATTATATTACTTATAAACAGGCTAGTCAGACATCTTTCCATAAGTTTGGATGGTCTGACTATAGCTTATCATAACTTAATAGAGTATTAATTAAGAATAAACTTGTGGTAAAAAAGGGCAGGTTGGACCTCGAACTAAGTTGATCGGTTCAGTCATATGCTACCTTATAAGATTAAGGGCAGACAGTTATATATAATTTGGATACTTAAACAGTTCAGGGCGACTAGGGCGGCCTAGTCATGTGCCCAAACAGGAAAAAAGTTGTTGTGCCCTGTGTCTGTGTATATTCTGGCTGAGCTAGGCAGGTTCCCATAAGTTTGGGTGGCCTAACTTTTTGCCTTATGTAAGCCGGTTATAAGGATATAAATCATTGAAAGATTATGAACTATTGTTTGTTAAGATGATTTTGGGGATGGTGAGAGTACTTATCTTTGTGGTTTGGCCTGCATGTGACTCAGTGAGGCTACTACTTAGTCTGAGTTTCAGTTTGATAGGTAGTTGTTTTAGTTGCTCGCCACGTGCTAGAGTCATAAGAGTTAGTTTTAATTCCAACATTTTTTTGGCTAAGTTTTTTTACTTGGTCAATTTATGCATTTTCTGTGATCTTTTATTTGTACTTGGTCTTGTATAAATCTTGGTAAGTCACTTTCTCTACGGGAAGCGCTGCCGAAATTTCTACTAAACCAAGGAGTTAGTCAGATTTTGTCTTTTTCAGGGTCCGATTTTTCTGACTTTTTGGCTTAGTAAAAATCTGAAAAACCTCTTTTTTCTAAAGGGAGTGCTGGCCAATTTTTTGCTAATTCAGAGAGTTAGACTAAATTACACCTTGAGAAGTCAAAGTCATTTTTATATTCTGAACTTAACTCTGTATAAATTTTAGAATAGCACTTTCTCTACGGGAAGCGCTGCCGAAATTTCTACAAATCTAAGGAGTTAGTTAAACTTTGTCTTAGTTGAAGTCAGGTCTGCTTTGTGAGTTTATATCTGAATTAGTATAAATCTGGGAAGTCTACCTGTCTAAAGGAAGTGCTGCCAAAATTTTTACTAATTCAGGGAGTTGGACAAATTTTGGCTTTTCAGAATTAGAGTTTGATTTTTGTTTTTTATATTTGGGGTATTATAAATTTTGTGAAGGCACTTTTCCTACGGGAAGCGCTGCCGAAATTTTCTTAGTTTAGAGGAGTTAGATTATATTTTGACAGGTGGCGATTCTGGCAATCCACTCTATATAGAGGAGACTCTGTCAGGATCTACCTTTCTTTAGGCACTGACTTAGAGGCAGACTTAGGCTTAGCTTGTAGAAGGATCTTAGGTGAGAATGTGTTATGGAGCTGTATTCTCCATACACTTATGATGTTAGCTTGGAGATTGACCGGTCTTGTGTTACAGGTCTTCTTGATCGATTGATTCAGGATTTGGGCTTGATTCAGTTTGATCCTACAAGGATTATTTTATGTTAGCACTGATAACAGGTCGGTTGTCGATTCGTCGGTCTACGACTCGACTCCAAATCATCCTCAATACTCAACCTAAAAGGTTTTAACCCTAGTGATTTTTATTGTTTGATTAAGGTTTTCACCGAGACTTTTATTGAATGGTCATTTAACGAAGGTACTGACTATTTAATTATGGTTGGTTGGACAAAGGCGGGGGCTTGCATAGCTAAAGCGAGGGGTATGAATATAGAGATTGGTTGGAGTTGACTCCGTGTAGTGCGTGAATTTTGTCGACTCCTTGATGTAATTGCAGGTATGTTCTGTAGTTCGGATTTTGGATTTGACTGCCTGCGATCATACATATACATATGGATGTGAGGAGTCTCACTGTGATTGTGAGAAGTGATCATCACATACTTATTTCCTTTTATATATATATATATATATATATATATATATGTATCTATGTTGGGTGTTTGCGTGGTTTGTGAGGGTCCACGCCTAAGGGTTAAATAAGGGGTTTAGATTGAGAAAAGAAAGAAAACCCCGTGTTATTATTGAATGCTTCTTAAAAGATTTCTGAGTCGGACGTTGGTCCTGGGCCCGGGTTCAAGGTCCTTGTCCAGGACATCCCAGGTCCTAGACTCTGCAAGGAAGGAATCTCCCCCCGCGCAGAGCCTATTTGCCCTGCCTGCCGAGACACTCAGCCTATCGTTCGTGAAGACTTCGAATCTAACACTTGAGTATCATAAGCGGTACTCGGATCCACGAGGGACCGCTTGATTATGGGCACTACATAGTACGCCATCATTGCGACTGCTAGCATATTCACGCATTGTTAGTCGATATGAGTTAGCCCTACGTCCGCGCGGTTTTATACAAAGTCTCGCGTGCAACGCCTACCCGATTTCCGCATTCGAAAGTTATGGGATGACTACTAAGGGACTAGGAGGGTTGTCTCGCTATTTGTTCTATGTCGCTCTGTATATGTATGAGTATCTGTGTATGTTCTTATTTTTATATTCTTTATAGTGGTGTGTGAGTGGCGTGCGGGATGCGTCCTAGTCAACCGGCGACGAGTCGCGCTTGGGACCTCAACTCCCTAAGATGTCGGTTCGCGTGTGGGTCCGATAGAGGTGTAATACCGCGCGTACCCCCTATGCTACAGCGACCGAGAAACGCCCTCGACCGGTCCACCTCTGCGATTGCATCTGATCAACTTTCGTATTGTGGACTGGTAGCTCAACGGGGATACGCCCACTGAAGGGAAGTGACAGCTCCCGTAAGATGGAGGTAAGTCGTGCCTCGCGTAGGCCCTATCCTGTCGTAGGGGTTCGCGAGAGGTATGGTTTGCGGAAGCTCCATGTATATCCGCGACGAGGAATAGACCAACTCCTGCGTGACGAGGCTGGGAGGGTCCCGCGCTGCCCTGTGCGGTGCTGGACCGACGTGTTCGACACCGCCCCCCCCCCCCCCCCCCCCCCC